TGGCTATAAATAGCACTGATGGTGGCAAACAGGAATCCCTTACAGATAAAACAAGATCTCAGACAGCAACAGCTGGCCTTGGTTGATACTCGCAAATCTCAGTGTACACTGAGATTTTAAAAAGACCAAGAACGGTGAGCACGCTATATATACTAATACACTCATTTTATAGTAAGTACACTTGGCTTATGTTGTTCGGCTTGGGCTCTTTTCCTTGACTCCACTCTAATCTCAGCCTAATTTTCGGAATCCAGCTCCATCTACACTTGAGGGATGGCAGACCTCCTTGAGTATCTACTGACAGCTGAGCCAATTGCTCCTCTTGGCTGTCTATGAAATTCTGACTTTGAACGAACATCCATTATGGGCACGAGGAAGGCCCTCATTAGTGGTGGCGCTGCAGGTTAAACCGCAGAAGCCTCCGTGCTGCAAGGTCGGAAGACCAGCCATCGTAAGATCGACTCCACGCAGTGGAGGGAGCTCCCGTTGCTCGTCTTAGCTCCTGCCAACCTAGCCATTCAAAAGCATGTAAAAATGCAAGTAGATAAATAGGTAACACCTCGGTGGGAAGGTAATAGCGTTGACCACGGATACTGTCTTCGGACAAAAACGCTGGCTCTACAGCTTGGAGACGGGGATGAGCATTGCGCCCTAGAGTCCAACATGACTGGACTAAACATCACGGGGAACCTTTACCTTTACCTAAGGCCCTCATCACTTGGAAAGTTCATGGCATTGTGAAAAAGGGTGAAAAGCCCTCTTGAACAAAAAACCTGAGTGTGTTTGCTGCTGGCAGGGTAACAAAGAGGGAGCCAATCCTGCCTCCCCGGGATCAGCCGCTCTCCAGGGACCCCTCACGCCTGCAGGGAGAAACAGGTCCTTCTACCACCGCCTTCAACCGCTCGGGACCAGCCCCTATGAAGGAATCACCTCTCCCACAAGCTTCTTGACCCATGACCAACATCATCCTCAGGGGACTTTCTCTGTGTTCCTCTTGCACACAGCGGTGTGGTGGGGAGCTACCCCAGAAAGCGCCTTTGCCTTAATGACCCCCCCAATCATGACCATCCTCCTCCCGCCGAGGAGCGCAGCCTGGCAGCCCCATAGGTGGCATCTGGAAGCCGAGCTAAGACCTGCCTCCTAGCTTCGTTTTGGTTGAGCTGGCTTTCAAAATCCTTGTCTTTTGGTTTCTTGATGCCACCCAGTTTTTTTTACTGTAAAGTCTGTGACTCATCAACCCTTTTTATATTTCTAAGCTGCATGGAGGACCCTGCTAGACAATAAGCCAGTTAAATCGAAATCATAAAAATCGGTGGACAGAGAGGCAGAAAAACAGCAACCCAGCGTGGACAAGCTATAACAGGAGGTGCCTCCACACCTGCCGACACTCCACGCCTTCCTGCTTTTAGCAAGACGCAACGGACGACAGCGGAAGCACCAGCCACGAGCCTTTCCTTGCCAGGGCAAGATGCGAAGGCCGCAGAAGCAGAGCAGAGCGCCTGGTCCTGTCTAATTTAATAACGGGTGCTTGCAGGAAAGCAGCTGCTCTCATGTGCCCCCCACCACCACCACCTGTGTCAGCGCCCCAACCCATTCATCACAGCCCCCTAATTAGCCCCCGCTGCTGCCTCGAGGTCCTGTCTTTGTCCAACTCGGGTGTGCATGGAGTGCGCGCTTGCGGTGGAAAACGAGACTCACCCTCCCCAGCCAAGGCCCACGCACGGATCCTGTGCTCACTGATCTCAGTGGACTGCAGAGCCGCATCCCCTTTTCTCCCAGTTAGCTGTCAGAACTAAGAAGCCTTTGTTATAAACGTGCGCTTCCAGCAACAGCTGAAACAGTAGGGCAGAAGGGCCAGATCCAAGCTTTGCTCGCTTTTCAGATTCCTCTTCTGCTCTTATTTATTATTTATTTCATTTATTTAAAATATTTTTGCCCTGCCTTGCTCCTTAAAAAGGGACCCCAAGCGGCTGTGATTTGCCAGCGTCTAACGCACCCGAGTCTGCTTTCCCCTGCCGACAGCATCTCCAGGCCAACAGGTCACAAACAGCCTTCGTTTGAGGGATCCCAAGCAGCTGTGATTTGCCAGCGTCTAACGCACCCCAGTCTGCTTTCTCCTGCCGACAGCATCTCCAAGCCAACAGGTCACAAACAGCCTTCGTTTGACCACAGAGCCCGTCTCCTGCCTCCAAATGCATTTTTTTAAAACTTCAAGATACACATGACTTCTGCCACTGGGCAAAAGACCTCTGAATGGACCTCCTACCAGGACTGAAGCATTTTTACATACAATAAATATGATTACTATGAACGATGCAAATCCATCAGATTTGCACCTGAACAGCCCTTCCTTCTACTTTTCTGCTTTTCCTAGCAGTGGAAGAAACGTCAATAGCTACGGAAGATTCCGAAACACCCAAACATGCCTGAGTTTTCTTGATTCTAAAAAAGCAAAATAGGATTAGACCTGGCTTATAACAGGATGGGAGACCACTAAGGAATCCCACGGATCTCTAGGTAAGGGATAAGAGAGGACTTTTCTGCCTGAAACCTCTCCTCCTCTTGGCTTTCTGTGCCCTCTCTTTGCAACAGGAGGGGAGTGTATGTGTGGAGGGGGGATTTCCATGCTAGCACAGGAAGGTAGATCTGGAGTTACCCCTACTTCCTCCTCACTGTGCCATCCGTTCACAAGAGCAAGGCTGCCGGAACACCAAAAGTAAAACGTGCCACTGAACCCCTTGGGAAATGGCTCTGATGCCATCAGGGAGTGTGTCCATCAAGAAAAAGACAGATCTGGTTTCAATATATTCACGAAGGCTTTCACGGCCGGGATCTAGTGGTTGTTGTGTGTTTTTCGGGCTCTTTGTTCTGAAGGTTGCTTTTCCTAATGCCACTGAATGGGAAATGGCTCTGATGCCATCAGGGAGTGTGTCCATGAAGAAAAAGACAGATCTGGTTTCCCTCTGGATTCTGAGGGCCCTCCAAGCAGGGCCTCTGGCCCTGGAATAGAAGACATTTGCACCCAGCTTCTGCATTTACTCTGAAGGGTCTCACCATGAGCACAAGCAGAAAGGAGGGGGGACCTTTAGCAACAGGAGGCTGACAGTTTTAATATTGTTGTGGGTTTTTTGGGCTCTTTGAAAAAGACAGATCTGGTTTCCCTCTGGATTCTGAGGGCCCTCCAAGCAGGGCCTCTGGCCCTGGAATAGAAGACATTTGCACCCAGCTTCTGCATTTACTCTGAAGGGTCTCACCATGAGCACAAGCAGAAAGGAGGGGGGACCTTTAGCAACAGGAGGCTGACAGTTTTAATATTGTTGTGGGTTTTTTGGGCTCTTTGGCCATGTTCTGAACTGAAGAGATGCTGATCAGCGTGTTTTAGTTGTGGATGTATTGTTGTGATAAGTGGGAGAGATTATCTGTCACTGTGATTGATGGGTGTCGTTAGCTGGCCATTTTTTGGCTGGGTAGAGTTCGTTGACCTAACCTAGAGGTCTTGTGGTTTGTCCAGATGCAACTTGGCAAACCTAAGCCATGCTGTCATGTTCTTTTTAGAGAGAAGAGGCTTTCTCCCAGCAAACCTTCTAAACAAACCATACTTTTTTTTCTAATTGTACCATCATGAACTTTAAGATGCTGAGGTGTAACTCTTGGGGTTTTTGTAATTTTTTTGAGCATTGCACGGTCTGATCTTTGGGTCCTGTAGAGTCTGAGGCGTAACTCTTGGGGTTTTTGTAATTTCTTTGAGCATTGCACGGTCTGATCTTTGGGTGAATCTGCTTGGACATCCACTTCTGCGAAGACTGGCAACTGTCTTAAATGTTTTCCACTTGTGATAATATTTTCCACTTGTGAATAATTTTCTTCACTGTAGAATTGTGGACTTTAAATAGTTTGGAAATGGTCTTATAACTGTTCCCAGATTGATGGGCAACAACAATTGCTTCTCTATGATCATAGCTGATGTGTTTCCTCCTTGGCATTGTGTTAACACACACCTGAATGCTCCAGATCAGCACTTGCTAAAACTTTGGCTTTTATACAGGTGGTCACACTTGCTGTTATTTGGTTATCAGCACTTGGCTGCTACTTAGCCTCATAATTCCTATGGAAGCAGTAGGAATGTACTTAGTTTTTCACACATGGCTTCTCTATTCGGGCTTTATTTTTGTAAAATAAATCATTACAGTATAATAAGTCATGTGTTGTTGTTCATCTGAGGTTGTATTTACCTAATTTCCAGACCTGCTAAGGACCAGATGATTTTTATTATGTCCTGATAGGTAAAACTATAGAATTTAACTCCTATGGAAGCAGTAGGAATGTACTTAGTTTTTCACACATGGCTTCTCTATTCGGGCTTTATTTTTGTAAAATAAATCATTACAGTATAATAAGTCATGTGTTGTTGTTCATCTGAGGTTGTATTTACCTAATTTCCAGACCTGCTAAGGACCAGATGATTTTTATTATGTCCTGATAGGTAAAACTATAGAATTCAAAGAGGGTGTCCTTTAGGGAGGAAAATCTGATATCCACGGTTCTGGAACTTTCTGCCCACTGAACTCTGCAGTGCCACCATGCTGAGCATCTCTAAGAGGACCATAAAAACTCATTCCTGCTTTGCTTTTTGTGCTGCCAGTATTTTACTACTAATTTTGCTATAAATTAAGATTACGTTTAGCTTTGTTGCCTTGCCGATAAAGCCTTTTCTTTTCTCCTGTATTTCCAATTTTTAAAATACCACCTCCAATTTAATTCTGTCTGTCTGACCTGGAGGCATAAGCTTTAAAAGCTAACAGTTACAGTATGTTATCGAGTGAAACACTTCATGAGGACCTGATCCTATAAGGCGGTATTAAAATGATGACATGAATAGCGCATATTGCGCTTGTGCACCCAATCACCCCCTGGGACATTCACTCGTCCTGTCCACTTTGAGCTTCTCAGAAGGACATACAGAGCATCAGGTTCACAAAATACACGCCCTGAAACCTTACCTGCTCCAACAGTTGCTATGGCACTCTCCTGCCCAATGATATGTTCCCGCAGCCTCTGCTCCAGGGGAAACCTTCGCCGTTCCTCGATTTCTCTCTTTCGTTGCTCTTCCTGAAACTGTAGAGAGTGAAGGGGAAAAGAAGTGAGAAATCAGCCGGCTTCAAAAGAGGTCAAAGAGCCTCAGTACAAGTTTGCTTGTGAGACAAGGTCCCTTAGGACCTGGTTTAAAGTTGTCTGGATATTTATTATTATTATCTATTATTTCATCTTTCATCTATTATTCATATTCTGCTTTTCAAGATGTAAATCTCCCCAACCTACCTTGATAACCTATTACAGTGTTTCTTTTCTGTTCATACTGTTAATTTCTAGAGGAATCAACCCCACCTCAAGAGCAAGTAACAGACACATACAAAACCAGTGATAGAAACATTCTCAGAATCACAGCAGATTCCACAGCGGCAGGGAAAGATCAAAACCATAAATTAGCAGGTAGGCGGCAGAAGAAAATAATCCTTCAGAAAAGATAATCTGAGCAATGCTGTGTGTGTGTGTATCTGAGCAATGCTCTGTGTGTGTGTGTGTGTGTGTGTGTGTGTGTGAGAGAGAGAGAGAGAGAGAGA